CCGTAAAGATGCATTGGCGGCATATAGACTTAGCATGACAGCTTTTAATTCCTTGCTCGAACACAGCGAGTTACTTTTAACTGTATAACATACGGCATATTATCTGGTTAAAAATTAGGTGAGAAGAACTTAAAACTCGCCTGAAACAATGAATGTAATGAGTTGAGCTTATCAGATGGGTTTCTTCTACCTGTCAGACATTTCTTTAAATAAATATGTGGAGTGTTTACACAGAAGTACCATTAAAGTGTTAATGATTTCCACTCAGACAATCAAGGACATCTTACTCTCTTCTCTGAAGATGACAGATTCCCCAGTATAGCCACGATTCCAGTCACACACACACTAGTGAGTTCGCCCTTGTACCTGCATGCATTATTATCGCCTCATACTTTCTTCACCATGCCAGGCAAGACAAATGCAAAGGTATGCCATGTCATAAAGCTAATTATAATTGCAATCTTATTTTAGATTGCTTTAAAAATTCTTTACAAGCTAACCCAGTCTTTCCATTCATGTTCACTGCATCCCTGAGCAGCCACAATAAAGATGATGGTTATGTTGCTCTCAAATGCTCAATGCAGGATGAATGCAATCTACTTTTAATCAGGACTCATTGCCCCCAAATCATGGCTACATTCATCCATAAAACTGGAGGACAAAGCTACATCATCCCCCTTGCCCACCCACCCATGCATCCATACATGCTCTTTGCATACAACCCACAATCCACTGTGTGAACTCTAATACACCCAAGCTGTGTTTGTGTTTCTGTTGATTATATATGTGTATACTAAAACATGCTCAGTCACATTTTATATATGTCTGTACGTGCTTTTGCCTTCATATTGCACGCTGCAGCGCTGTGCTAACTGCTTCTGACCGCGTGTCGATGTTCGCGCTGTGGTTCAGTGTTGTGGAATGGCTGGCGTTGTTCATCTGTGATTCTGCTTCTTGATGTAAACAGTTTGCTTATGAGCTTTTCTATCAGGCGAACACACGCACAGACACAAACTGCACACTTTCCAGTGAGTTCACTAATGTGAATTCCCAAGATAAGGTGTTATTCTTTAGTATATAAGATGACATCTCACAGAAGAAATACTCACATTATCAGTCTCCACTCACATCATTGCTGCTGTATCAAGCTCGTTCGTAGTCTTTTACTTGCAACAAATGAAATTTGACTGAAGTATTTTGTATTTATGGTTATTTAAATATTTAGGTGCTTCTCTTACCCCATTTTAAAAATTTCCAAATTTACAAGTATTGCACTTACAATGCTCAGAAGCTTCTAAACTGATTTTTTGTTGGGTGATGGGGGTGGTATGTGTACAGTAATTGTAATATTATGTAGCTGACAGGAAATTCGTGGAGGTTACCTTAACGGTTTAGATGAACAATGTCCAGGAGAATGTCTAATTCCCTTTTCATTCATATTAGAGTGGCTGTATCGCTTCAACCCGTTTGGCCTATGAATGTTCAACCTGAAGTTGGTATGAAAGAGTTCTGTCAGTACATTAAAAAATATTCAAAAACTCAATATTTAAAATTAGTTTATGTCATTATTATTGTCAGAACTCTTCCATAACAGTAACTTGTGTGGTTTAGACTGTGTCTAATATATCATGAAGTCTGTGGAGATTTAGTATGAGGAGAGCTGGCATTTTGTGTGTGTGTACCAATTTCTAACCTTTTTCAGATGTAAATTGTCAGTTTTTCTCATTCTAACTCTACACAATGATCTGTGTCACTGTGGCTCGAAGCTCTCATACTGCCTTCTTGTTTGTTCTTGTAGATAAGTACTCTGTGTTGAGGGGTGTAGCAGGCGAGGGGGAGAGAGCAATACAAAATGGCATTTAAACGTCTCTCCTTTTCCAGGTATACAACAACTGTGTGAATGTCTCTCTGAGGACACAGCACAGAGCGACCTGCTTAAAAGTGTGCGCTGACTGACTGCCATGTCTTTCTTCTCGCTCACCCCTCCCCACCCATCTGTCTCTCCAATTTACTTCTCTCTCATCCACCCCACCATATTTCAATCTGCCTGACCGTGTCTGTCTTTCATCCTCTCTGTCTCTGCATGTCTGCTTTTGTCTGCCTTTGCATTTTTATTTTACTTTTTTTAATCTTCCTCTATTTGCACATATGTCAAAATCTACATTTCTCTCCACATTTCCTGTTTCCCTCCTTTCAACCCTTTCGCTCGCATGCACCAGAAGCAGGCTGACGGCCCGTCCGTCATTCAAACTGCGGATCAGTGTCCCCATGCCCCCAATGAACACCCACTTGTCCTGGGTAGTCAGACCCAGAACCAGATCCCCAACACTGCCAACACCACAGGCTCCAGCACCCATTACCAACACACAGCATGCTGCGATATTCCCTGTGCCCTGATTGTGCAGCATTCCTACGAACCCGGCAACCCCTCCGAGATCACACCCAAAATGAGAATGACCACATTCACCACTTCACCTCCTACACCAAGGTTATACATACAGTAGATTAAAAAGATTTATTAAAATGCTCTTTGGTTATTAAAGAGTGAAGACGATACTATGTAATAGTTGTAATTTATCTGAGAAATCTGTGGACATCAGAGTAGTTATTTTACTTCGATGTCCATGTAACAAACCTAAAGTAACTTTTTAATGTTTATTTTACCTGGCATGTTGCCAGTTGAAAATGTCTGCAATAACACTCCACTGCCTTTAGAGGGTGCTGTGTTTCCATGTAGAGAAATATGGAGCATCCTTCACCAGGCAGTTAAAGGCACTTATAGTTTGAAAGGTTTGTGATAATAAATGCAAAGCCCTTCAGTGGCCTATTGACTTTGTTACCATGAGTTTCTAATAAAAGCCATAAAACAAAAACCGTTCAGTGCTCAAAGCTTGGCTTTAAATCTCCAAAACATTTGCATTTAACGGTAAACTAGACATTTGTTTCATTTCCTTTATAGTCTCAATGAAACACAACTGTCTCCTTTGCAGGAAACCTGTTATGAAACATGTCAGTTTTCAGATTATTTAACATTTTTTCTGCGATGTTATAATTTACATCGTAGAGGAGGATTGAAATATGCATTTGAAAGTAGTTGACTTTGGGTGCAGTCAGGTCTTTGCTCTTTAATCTTCCACTTCAGTGACTTCAATCCTCTTTGCCCTTACGGTCACTCATGAGTCTCCTTTCACAAACAGCACAACAGTCATTTGTGAATCCCTCTTTTCCTTCACCTCCCTTCATGTGCGCCGTTACCAAGTGTGTCCCTTCAATATGTTTTTACTTCAAACTCTTAACGTGCCTAGTTCAGGGGCAAACATTGGCGCTCCCTGCCGTCTTTTCCTTTCTCCCACTGCCCCTCTTTTAGACGATAACCGGAGGGCACCACTGCAGGTCCCTTCTGCTCATGAGGTGCAATCAGTAAGGCCAGAGAGCCCTCCACAACCCCCAGACCCAAAGGACACGGTCAGTAAATCTGTCTTTTTACCCCAAACAATGTGACCCGTTATCACAAAACCTTTTCAGACTTTTTACCCAGAGAATGTCACCTCAAAATCCTCTTGAACCCCCAACTTTGTCCACCAAATACATTTTTCTGAGACTCTAAAGCGATCCCAGAAGCACGTTGTCACCCATATATGTAGAATGTGAAAATCTAAAACTCCTCCAGAACTTTCTGTCGTTCCCAATGTTCACCTGAGCTTCCTCTTCACTATATGCTCCCCTCATTCATTGCAAATTGAAACCCGCCTGCACTCATGCCCACCCTTCCTTACACAGTAAAAGCATGAAACGTCCCTCACTCAATGTTGCAACTTTTAGTGGATAAGATATTTATATATGAAGTTTTCCAGTGGATTTGTAGTGTTTTTGTAAGTTTCATTTATCTTATACTGTAAGTTTAGTTAAAGGTTAAGTTAAGTTGTTTGTGCTTTAAAGTGTTAAGAATTATAGATCTGATGAACAACATTCAAATCTCTGCACTTTATGAGGAAGAGACAATATTATGGCCTGGTATAAATTCAGTGAAGATTGAGATAAAGGCCATAATGCAATGTAGTAATGAGAATCAATAAAAAAAAATGAGAAATATAATGTTGAACATTTAGAGATTTTTTTTCATCTTTAAGTTAAAAATTCAACGTTATTGCTAAAGTAAGTAGTAAGCCTAAAATCCTGGAATCGCAGAGAACGCAGTATGATAGGAGTGTGATTTTCTGTGACTTCCTGATTATCTGCATTCCCTTAAAGACCTTGTAGAAGTGTGTATGTTTCTTTTCCTGATCACAGTTCAGAGTGTGCTTCTCTATCCCTCTCTCCATCCTTTCTCCTCCTCTTTTGCTCCCCCCCACCTCCTGTCACCTCCACACCTTCCCTGTGGGAAACAAACATTGACTCCTATTTTTGTGTCATTGATATTTTCACACCTAACATTGTGAAAATGTTGACTTTTTTTAATTATTTGTGGCATAAACTTTCTTTGGGCGTGGTTGCATGCTGTTCGCCCTTTATCTGCTGGTCCTTGTCTGCCTCTTCTATTATTTTCACTTCACATCCTTTATGCTTAATTGATACATGTATAACATCCATTTTTTCTTAAAACAAACACACATTCTACACATTTCTGCAAATACTGTTCTGTTTTCTTCATTATATTCCCCATTTCTTTACTCACCGGTACAACCCTCACACCTTGCTGCCTTTGTCCTTTCTCTTCACTTCACCCAACATCCATCTGTCTCATTGTCTTTCTTGTTTTCTGTCTTTGTGTTTTTGTCTCCAATCTTCATTTCTGCTGATTTTTTTTCCACCAACCGTTAAATGCTACCCACAAATTTGTTTTGTACCTCTTCCTTCCTTCCTCCAACATTCCTTTTTCCCACCAACTATTGTTTCAATATTTTTCCCTACCATTAATGCCTCTTCTTTTCTTCCATTTATCATCACCACTCCCTCTTTTTTTCTCTTTCCTCTCCTGCCCTGTCTCTCCCTACCTACAGGACGATAAGGAGATCGACCTGGAGCACCTACACCGCCGGGTTAACAGCTTGTGCACCGAGGATGAAAGCCCCCATAAGCAGTTCTCCACCTCTTCCGTCGATTTAACCCCCCTTGACATGGATGCACTGCCTGCTGCCCGCCAGGCACTCGAGCAGATCAGTGATTTCCGCAACACCCACATCACTACCACCACCTTTATCCCTGAGCAGATCCAAACCCTAAGCCGTAGCCTCTCAGCCAAAGCCGCTGCTGGATTTTCTTCTGGTTTCGGTGGTGGCGGTCTCCAGGATCACCGAACTGGTGGGGTAGGCCCCTTCAGACAGAGGGCCCCCAATGGTGGCTTTTTCCGCAGCCCCATTAAAACTATGTCCTCCATTCCATACCAGCCCACAGGTCCTGGACCCAACTTTGGATATGGCAATGATCCAGACAGGGGCACCTCCATATGAGGAGTTGCTATGGATATAGTTGGTTCAGGAAGAAAAAGCAAAAAGAGGAGAAGGGGGAGGGGATTAGAGTATACCATGGTTGAACAAAAGCGTTGTGGCAAGGTTAAAAAATGAAGAATAGAGTTCTTTGTAAACAGCAATTATTCCTTTTTTTTTGTTTGTTTGTTTGTTTGTTTGTTTCTGCCTGGATGTCAAGGGGTGTTACTTTATTTTTGTTTTGTTTTTTGTATGTGGGAGAAAAAAACGAAAGAGGTGGAGATCGATCGGGGCATTTTTTTATATCCTCTTTCAAACCTTGCTGGAGAGATGCAAGAAGGGAAACGAGCTTGGACAGGGTGGGGGTGGATGTTTTCTCTGCTTTCTTGTTGTTGTTGTGATTGCTTAGGAAAATGTTTTGGGAGATATGTGTGAAAAAAAACTTTTTATTATTGTTTTATGACATGAGGACTTTCTCATTTAATGGGGAAAAAATAAAAGCTCAAAAGTCCCTTTTACTCTTTGAGCAGCCAGTTGAAAGGTGTTTTTTGAAACAGACCAATGCTCGGAAATATTCTTTCAGCCCCAGTTTTTTCGTTGGCGAGTGATGAGTTGTCTCTTTAGCCATGAAACAACTTCCAGAGACGTTAGCTAGAAGCAGTTCTGATGCAGTGATCTCATGAAAGAATGGTCTCGGCTGTAATATTGGCTGTCTTTAGCCCTGCACCTTGTAGGGTTTTGAGAAGATCATGAATATTGAAGATAATTCTTCATTAGGGTTTTTTTTTTTTTTTTTTGCCTTTTCAATATGTGGGAATCTGAAGTCCTTTTTCTTCTCTGGTGTTGTTTTACCAATACTTGAGGTTCGAAATATGTAATCATCTTCAAGATGGTGTCCACACAGTGGCCTGACCAGACTTAAGACTTTGCAGCTGAACCCAAGCTGACAACTCCCCGGTGCGTCAGTCTGTAAAAAGAAATTCAAATTTAAAAACTGTTGAAATGCCATGACAGTGCGAGAGTATGTCCAGGTTGGTGTATCAATCTTAAACTACTTCTGCCATTTTGGTGCATCAGCCCGAAACTGTTTTCACCATTCTGATGCACATTAAACTCTTTATCGATCCCTCTGCACTGTACCAGTGCCCACAGACCTGTAAGTGATTGTATGTAGACCTTACTTTTTCTTTTCTCACCTGTATCGTGCAATCTGCTTTTCAAGTCAAGGTGAGATCCTCGAATCAGACTCTCAGAGACGTGGTGAAACATGGACCATTAAAAAAAAAAAGCAGATGTCAGAATTACAAAGCATAAAAGACAAACTGAAAGACTTCACAAAGCTTATGCTTATATGTCTTTTATTGAGTTTTGTTTTGGAAAAAAATTACGTGGAATGTGTTTTGGTCAGGAAGTACAAAAAAAATATTGTTTTGAGCTGTCTTTTTTTTTGTTATTTAGTATTTTCTTTATTTTTTTCCCCTTCAGAATACATTGAAAAACTGCTAAACAAGTGCTATAGTTTCTGGTTTTGCATCAAGTCATTCAAACTCGTACTTTTGATTTGTTTCTGTTTTGCTCACGCGTAGTGCTCACAGTGGTGTTGAAAATGACAAATATCAGATTCAAGTTCGTGAATCTCTTCTTATTGGGTTCAAGAGAAAGAATTTGAAGAAGAATTTGTGTTGAGGAAAAGCTATTACAAACAACCTCTTCAGTTCAAGCCTTATGTGTCAGCTGTACCCTCCTGTTTCAAACGATGCTACGCTCTGGAAACGAGAGCTGCAGTTCATATGAAAGATAATCTGAGTGGCATCACGACATCATGAGTCCAAAACACGCTTCAGGTTCATATCATGTTAAAGGTACTATTGATGTAACTTTTTTTAAGTGCCAATTAAATAAAATGAGACCATTAAGGTGCATTCTAAGGTGGAGAATGGGAGTGGTACATAAAAAGATCATTTTATGGGTTGTCGGGAGGATAAAGTAGAGTCAAACATTTTTGTTTCCCACTAACACTGTAATAATAATTAGTAATAATTGTTTAGAGCAAGTTTTCAGTTTGCTTTTTTTGGGCTAAAACTACAAATTGTTCTGTGTGTAGAGAATTCAGTCAAGCCACAGTGTTTTGAAACAAGCACTCTTAGGATTTTTTCTTTGGTTCTTAGGTTACAGACAGGCTATTGAATGGCAAATAGGACACATACATAAAAAAATTATTTAGTATAAATAAAGAGACATTATGAAAATGTATATTTTACATGTTGACGCTATTTTTGTTTAACTAAAAGAAAATATATCATGTTGAGCTTTAGTGTTGGATTCAGCAGTTACATCACTGCCTTTGGTTCTCCTCTGTCCTGCCCACGGTAAACACATTTACACTAATATTTTGCTCAAGATCATTTTCTGTTTTGTTTTTTTCCCCCTTGATTTTATTTTTTGCTGTCTGAATAACAAAACCTGGCAAGTTCACTGAAAAGAAAGCATGCACAAACTTGCTGTCTAGCTATCTGTTAACATTATTTTTTAATTTCTTACATAGAACTACAGGATTTACTTGATAATTTTCAAAAATTTAAGATGTACAGTATTTAATATAGGCCTATTTTGTTGTATGTGTTGCATAATATTCAAAAACTGATCAAACTTGGGCCTCTGTTACAAGTGGCAAAGCTTTCTGTGTATAATTTGTCTAATAAACAGGTTTTCTACAGTCGTGTGGTATTTGTTGTCTTTGTCTAGTCTAGACAACCGTTTTTGTAAAGGAGGTAAACTTTAATATTTGTGCATAAAAATATAAACCTATAAAAGACCAGTACTGTTATAAGTATTTCAGTACAAAATACATATTAACTTAAAGATAAATGAGGAACTTTTCCCATAATTGAATATAATTGTTTGTTCTGATATGTAAACAGAACTGTATGGGGCGCATCCGGTAAGTATTCCCAGTGCTTAACTTTTTCAAAAAAAATGGTTACAACCTTATTCCAAATTGTAATAAAATAATCTCTTTCCTCGAAATTCTACGCACAAGACAACAATGTGAAAATATACATATATACCCATCTATATATATCTATATAGACATATGTAAATGGGATTTCTTAGTTTTCTAGTTTTAATAAATTTGCAAAAATCTAATATTTAGATTTTTGCAAATTTATTAAAACTAAGAAATCCCATTTACATAAGTTTTCACAGCCTTTTGCTGAATACTTTGTTGATCCACCTTTGGCAGAATTACAGCTTTAAGTCTTTTTGAATATGATGTCACAAGCTGAGCACACATATCTTTAGACAGTTTTTCCCCATTCGTCTTTGCAGCACTTCTCAAGCGCTATCAGGTTGGATGTGAGACGTCTGTGCACAGCCATGTTCAGATATCTCCAGAGATCTCCTGATGCATGCTCATTAATCCAGGTAGAAAAATCTACAAAAGTTAAATCTGATCCTATGGACATTCAAAAAAACATGAATGTCCAGAGGACCAGATTTAACATTTTTAGATATCTCCAGAGATTTCAGTCAGATTCAAGTCTGGACTCTGGGTTGGCCACTCCAGGACCTTCACAGAGTGGCCCTGAAGCAGCTCCTTTGAGATCTTGGCCGTGTGCTTTGGGTTGTTGTTCTGCTGAAAAATAAACTGTCGCCCCAAGAGCGCACTGGAGCAGGTTTTCATCCAGGATGTCTCTGTACATTGCTGCATTCATCTTTCCCTCTATCCTGACTAGGCTGTCAGTTCCTGCTGCTGTAAAACATCCCCATAGCATGATGCTGCCACCACCATGCTTCACTGTAGGGATGTATTGGCCTGGTGATGAGCAGTGGTTTCCTCCAAACGTGATGCCTGGCATTCACACCAAAGAGTTCAGTTTTTGTCTCATCAGACCAGAAAATGTTGTTTCACATGGTCTCAGAGTCCTTCAGGTTCCTTTTGGCAAACTCCAGATGGGCTGCCATGAGTCTTTTATTGAGGAGTGGCTTTCATCTGGCCACAGTGGCCTGATTGGTGGGTTGCTGCAGAGATGGTTGTCCTTCTGGAAAGCTCTCCTCTCTCCACAGAGGAACGCTGGAGCTCTAACAGGGTGAACACTGGGTTCTTGGTCACCTCTGTCTCTTCTCCCCTGATCACTCAGTTTAGACGGCTGGCCAGCTCTAAGAAGAGTCCTGGTGGTTCCAAACTTCTTCCATTTATGAAAGATGGAGGCCACTGGGCTCACTGGAACCTTCAAAGAAGCAGAAATGTTTCTGTATCCTCCAGATTTGTGCCTCAACACAATCCTGTCTCAGAGGTCTACAAACAATTCCTTTGACTTCATGCTTGGTGTTTTGGCTCTGACATGCACGTCAACTATGAGCCCTTATAGACAGGAGTGTGGCTTTCCAAATCAAGTCCAGTCAACTGAATTGATCACAGGTGGACTTCATTTAAGTTGTAGAAACATCTCCAGGAGGATCAGTGGAAACAGCATCTGAGCTCAATTTTCAGCTTCATGGCAAATGATGTGAATATTTATATAAATGTGATTTCTTAATTTTCTTTGTGAATAAATTTGCTAAAATCCCCAAAAGCTTTATTCACATCGCCATAATGAAGTATTGTGTGTAGTATTTTGACAAGATTAATACAATTTGGAAAAAGGCTGAAACAAAACAAAATGTGGAAAAAGTGAAGTGCTGAATATTTTCCAGATGAGCTGTAAATGCCAACACCTGTAGGTTTTTCCTCTTTTGTGGTTGTTGTGGCTTTTTTTTTTTTTTTTTTTTTTGTAATATTTTTAAGGATTCTTCTTAACTGTGTACAAGTTTTAGCTTTTATGGTATGTTAGTCCATGCTGGTAAGATATCATGTGGTCATTCAAATGTACCATAAGTCAAAATAAAAAAAGAGCTGACGCTCACTGATCCAATTTTAAAATGCAAACAAAAGATTGGTTCAGCAGTGAGCTTGAGATTTTAGTTTTATTTTGAAAGTTTATCGTTCTTCAACTGTGAGGCACCTGATCCAGCAGCTAAACTACTATAGATGAAGTGCAGAGTGTACTACGTTGAATGAAATAACTGCAACTTGAGTAAGTTTTTAGGGGCTGTAGTAGCTTGATGATATGTACCATGCTCTTGTCATCCAGAGGCTGCAGGTTTGAGTCCAAGTTGTCTCAGAAAGGGCGTCCGGTGTAAAACAATTGCAAATATTTAATGTTAGCTCAGTCTCTGTGGCAACCCCTGCAGAAGGAAGGCTAAAAAAATAATGAGTCTGTTTAAAAAGATTTGATGTCTTATGAAAAATCATGTTACTGTTAATGTTTTGGTGATCAGAGGATGAATTGTCAGACAGCCATAAGTTTCATACTCATTCATATTTTTGTGACAAAGAAGACAAGTGCAAGTTTTCAATGAGACACTAAATATTTTGTTGCTAAATGTTCACAACTCAGTGTAAATCTACGAGCACATTTTTGCATTTTTCAAAATATCAGGGGTCAATTTTAGTTCTGGTAGAGTTGAAATTATGGGATGCTCGTTTTATTTTGGTGCCTTGCCAACTACACAACTATAAGCTGAAAATTTATCCAAAAACATTCTGATGAAGACAGATATTTCCTGGGTTTTTTTTAAGTCCTCCTGTTAAAGTAAAACTTTTTACATAGGAGTCAGTTATTACCACAGAGGTTGACTGAATATTTAAGCTTTGTTTATTTGCAACATGTAAAAGATTACATTCTAAAAGTCATGAGTTCTACTAGATCTGGGCATCATTTTCATGTTGACCCACCAGAAATGAGCTGATCAATTTTGTTTTTGTTATAACATTAATAATATCAATTTTTTTATTTTATTTTTTTATTTCCATCCATCCATCCATTATCTTTTACTCGCTTCTTCCTTTTAGGGTTGCGGGGGGGTCACTCGTGCCCATGTCCAGCCATCACTGTGCAAGAGGCGGGTTACACCCTGGACAGGTCTCCAGTCCATCACAGGGACACATAGAGACAAACACACACTCACTGACACCTAGAGGCAATTTAGAGTTCCCAATCAGACCAACATGCATGTTTTTGGTCTGTGGGAGGAAACTGAAGAAAACCAACGCATGCACGGAGAGGACATGCTAACTGCAGAAAGGCCCCGGTCCAGGATTTGAACCAGGGTAACCTGCTCGCTGAGAGGCAGCAACTCTACCAGTTGCACCACCGTGCTGCCTTTTTTATTTTTGTTGTTGTTGTTGTTGTTGTTGTTGTTGTTGTTGTTGTTGTTGTTGTTGTTGTTGTTGTTAAATAGAACTGTCTTACGTTTGTACATTTATGTTGGCATTTTGTATGACTGGACCTTTTTGATTCAGATCAGACATTTAAACTGATCTGATGCTGCATGAAAAGGATTTAATTATAGATTATTTATTTCTCCCTTTTAGACTTGTAATGTTTTATGATCGAAGAAGTAGCCATCCATTATCTTTACCCACGTCTTGCTTTCCGGGTCACTTGTGTCCCTGTCCAGCAGTCACTGTGTGAGAGGTCTTACTTTGTAACATCACTCTAGCTGCTGTTCAGAACTGGACAGGCCCGGAGGCTGAGCTCAAGTTCACCTCAGGATGGATCATCCTGAAGTAACAGGTTGTCACCATGCGGTGGCGCTGTGGTGTCCCCGCAAACATCCCGGACTTTTCTCGGTTTCTTCTGTAAAAATAACTCTGTTTTGAACATTGCTGACGTCTGGCTGGACACTCACAAAAATAATGGAGGAAATTAATTTATGATGGAGCTTTGACCTTTGTGAAAAACAAACAAACAAACAAACAAACGGAGTCCTGCAATGTGAGTTCATTAAAGTATAATAATTTATCTCGAAATTACTCAATAAACACAGGTATTAAGAAATAATGCATTTATTTATTGTTAGATTTAAGCCTAAATACAAAGTTTAGCTATATATTAGCCTATATATTTTTGCGTGTTCATCTTTAATTAAGCACTCTTATTTGGAATTAAAATATTTCCTGTATATTAAATCTTGTAGACAAAAATATGAATTTTAGTAAAAAATATTTCAGAAACAACCTCATGCGGACTCAGGATTCTGAAATCCTGGTCCAGCTCTCCTCACTCGGGTCTCGTGGCCCTGCAGCGCCCGCGTCTCCAGGGAGACCGGAGTGAGAGGGGGCAGCACGCAGACTCCTCTCGCGCGCGTTGGAATGGGAGCCCGCCCCTCTCCCTGGAGGAGCTTCCCCCCCAGGCGTGACCAATGGAACATAGAGTCTCCATTGTGGCTGGGACACTTTAATAATCGCCAGCTACAATATCCAACCTGTCGGTAGCTTCAGGAGCCCCGCTGGATGGAGGGGGCTTGTTGGGGGTGGAGAGGGGGCGAAAGCTCGGCGCCAGGCCTCCACCCGGACGATGAATACATGAATAAGAAATGGCAAAGAAGTCGGAGAAAGTTTGGCATCTCTTCTTTACATAAATGACATGTTATCCTAAAATATGTGTCCTCTTGGGACCAAAAGTTTTCTGCTCGTTTTAAACTTTTTACCTTCAGCTTGGAGTTGTGTTTTGTAACTACTGTACAGGACTGATAAAAACAATAGTCAAACGTGCCACTCCCCCTACCCCTCCCCTTGATCATATTAAAACACTGGCATGCTGTATTTAACATATAGAGGATGCGCTTCTCATCCACCCGAGCAATTAGCTGAATGTCCAACTTCCGCCCAGCAATTAAGCTGCATGTTGTTCGTGAGAGCTGAGCTGCTCCACTGGTGTTGCCCCTGTAGCACCCCCCCCCCCCCCCCCCCCCCACACACACACACCCACCCCCCCACACACACACACCACCGTCTATTAATGAGATTGTGTTTGTTTGTTTGTTCTTCGACCATAGCGCACGCACGTGTGCGTCCTCGCCGCTGGCCACAGAATGAGCGCAAGACCCCCGGCTCGTGTTTCCGTTCCCTGTGAAGCCCCTTTCCTCGCCCACAGGGCGTTCCGCGAGCCGGATCAAAAGGAGGTTCGAGCTGCTACAAAAGAGAAGTGGAAACAGGAGGAGAGGATCCTGATGGATGAATTGACAATGAGCGCGCACGAGCCGCAGGAACCGCGGATAATTTTAACTTTTCTTTTTTCTTCTTCTTTTTGCTTGGTCTCAAACTTTAGAATAAAGTTTAATGTATTTAAATGCTTTAATGCTTATGTGTTAGTTATTGCTAAGTTGTAAAATGAAGATTAAATAATGTTAAATGAATTTTTAATTTGGTGGTGTTCTTTTTATTTGTATTTATTTATTTGGCGTATTTCTTTTCATGCAGCTGCTGCTCGTGTTTAATCTTCAGAGCTGTAAGATAAAAACTGAGCTTCCTCCTTCCTTCTCTCTCTGAGATGACAGCTCAGGTGGGGATTCCGCCCCATCAGCACGTCTCGCGCTGCCCACGCTCCTTACCTTCGACTTGCACGTGCGTCCTGTGGGAGGTTCCCATGGCTTCACCCTACTCCCCCCTCCTCCTCCCACTACCACTTACGTTCAAGACTCCCCAAACCCTGACGTTATGATGAGCAGGAGCCATAATCAGCTCTCTCGGGCTTTCAGCGAGACATCTCATTGGACGTCCACACGCGACCAGCGCGAGGAGGGGGGCTTCCAGACGCGTGCCGCCTTTTAAACCGACGCTGCGCCTTGAGACACCAGAGACCAAGACCCGCACGCGACCATCTTACAGACAGAGCAACAGCAGCATCACCAGAAACTTTTTGTTTTCTTCTTCTAATTATAAAGTTAGAAACGATTTCGTTGCTGTTGTTTGTGGAAACATGCACGCGTCATCTGTGGAAGGATGGAGCAAAGGCGCGCGGGAGGTGGCAGCCCTGGACGCGCTGCAGCAGGAGCGCATCAGCCCCGGGGTGATGGGGGAGAGGGGAGGCAAGTCGCACTTGGAGGAGTCCCGCTACGAATGCGGACTCGCGCTCGTGGACAGCGGCGGTGACCCACGCGCCTGGCTGGCTGAGGCTTCCGACACCTGCGCGGCACGCGCCACTTCACAGCACTACCTGCGGCACTCGCCGTGCCCGAGCACCAGCTCCTACCAAGGTGAGGACAGCCACTGCGCATGTCCGTGGCTTTTTACCTGAAGAGCAAGTGATCCGAGTCACAGTTTGAGTTTGAGCATCAGAGTTTATGAACTTCTTTATGATATAAAGTTATTTTTTATTTGTTGTCAAACCGCTTCATGTTTTGGTCTTCACTTTCCAGAGAGCGGCTCCCCGGGGTCCTCGGGCCCTCCCAGCCCCCCCAGCCTCAGAAAATCCGCCAAAAGCCCCTCCTGTTCCTCACTCAAAGTCAGAGACCTGTGCCGCCTGAAGAGCACGTGCACTGGACCCGAAGCCGACGCTTCCGCGAGACAGAGAGCCTCCTCCAGCAAGCCGGTCAGCGGGGTCCAGAAGCAGAGGCGGGTGGCCGCCAACGCGCGCGAGCGGAGGCGCATGCACGGCCTGAACCACGCGTTCGACGAGCTGCGCAGCGTCATCCCGGCGTTCGACAACGACAAGAAGCTCTCCAAGTACGAGACTCTGCAGATGGCGCAGATTTACATCAACGCGCTCGCCGAGCTGCTCCAAGGCCCGGCGGCAGCGAGCGCGCGCAGCGGCGACGAGTCCAGCAATAACAGCAAGTGCGACAGGATGCTGTCATCTGCTGACGGGTTCGAAGGGGCCAAGGAGGGGGCTTCCCAGTCTCCAGCCACCTGTAGGACAGCTGTGCACATCGGCGGGATGCCGTTCTGTGCTTCCCTGCAGGAAGCGGAAGTGTGTTCCCGGGATGGCGCGTCGCAGTTTGGCCCTGGAAGGAAAGGGTCCCCACGGAGCGATGGGGAGTTTTCCCCGCACTCCCACTTCAGTGACTCGGATGAACTCGCAGTGGAGCTCCACTCGAGCGAAGAAGATGATCTTTCAGAACTCAAGCTGCCCAGCCACCGTCAGAACGCCGTGTCTTTCTGAAGAATAAGAAATAAACTTTAACCTCTGGGTTTCCATAAAGTGTCAATAGAGTCTTGGATTTTTAGAGATTTCTTCATTTTCTAACAGAACAAGTCATTTGAATCATTAGTTTTGTTTTCTCAACTTGTTGCGTTATTTGTTTATGTGAGATATGCCTAATTCGGTTCTGCCAATAAAACAATTCCTAATGGGCGGAAGGCCCCTCGCCATGTCGCGCTCAGCACCGCCACGTCCAAACTACCAAAACAAGCTGTCTTCCACTAAACTTCACGGAAAACTCTTCAGCTGGATTTGATATTAGAAATATAACTTTTTTTTTTTTTTTTTTTTTTTTTGTAGCTACAGTTTGAGTTTTGTTGTGATTTACAGTGATCATTTGTGTTTGATTTTGCAACTTCTAAAGTTTATGATGTGCACTTTAAAATCATTCGGGCCAGAGGCTTCGAAATTGCGGTTTTTGTTCCCCAAACCAAACAGAATGAAGTTTTTTTTTAAATCATTATTATTATTTGTTTGCTATAATGTACTGCCAACCCCATTACAAAATGTAGCCATCAATGCTGCCTTTTTTCTGTTTTTAAATCTTTTTTTTTTTGTATCACGAGCATGAGTCTTTTTTTTTTTTTTTTTTGACTGATTGAGATGAAAATATTATGTATTTATTATTGACAAGTTTGTTTGGGTTTTATAATTTTGTAGCTGAAGTTGCTGATAAAAGCTATTTGCGTTTTTTTTGTTTGTTTGTTTTTTTGTTTGTTTTGTTTTTATGTTGTTAGTTTGCTTTGATTTTGGGAATAAAAAGCAAAAGAAAATGTCTGTTGTTTCTGTTCAGCCTTGATGACGAATTTAAACAAGTGTTCTTCTTTCCTCTTTTTTGGCTCTTTATTAAATAATAATAATAATGATAGGGTTTATGTAGAATTTTTATGTGTTTTAACCTATTAATTACTCATATATTTAAAAAAAAGACTTTTGCAAAAGCCATCAAGGATGTTTCCATATGTGCAATAATAACCCTTTAGTGCTTGATGGCCTATTAAAGAAGAATATTTAATGAAGGGGAGAACTTTTAGAAAGCAGCTTCAAACCACACAAACAAACAAAATATTATTTCTTGAAGAAAAAAAAACTTTATTGAATAAGTCATGGTAAACTGACCCAATAAAAGAGAAGTAGTGATAAATGTGTTTTTAAATAGTCTTTAGTTTTTTTATTATTGTCTTTTTTCTTCTTGTTTACTTTCAGTTTTCCTTTCAGTGTATTTTTTCCCAATTTACTCCAAACTAGTTTAGTTAATGGGGAGCGTGCATTAATTTCAGCCCTTTGTTAACTGGCTCGTGGGCCGAGGTGTTGGATGGCCTCAGAGGAGCACGCGCTGTCAGCTGGTGAGCGCTCGCGGGTCCCCGCCGCGTCCCCGAGGACCTGACTCGAGAGGGAACACACTTTCTCAACTAAAGAAAAGCCTGCAAACACACACACACACACACACACACACACACACACACACACACACACACACACACACGTCCTCTCCTGCTGCGTGACTCGAGCAGAAATTACTGTTTTCTTTTATTCCCGGTTTTTTTTTTTTTTTTTTTTTTTCAAACTGCGCGTCCTTCAATGTTATTTCAAAAGCTCAACGAACAAAAGACTCTGGTAAAATCCTCTGCAATAATTTATGAAAGTGCTTCAACCTGTTGGCTACCTGTCACCCCCACACACACGCGCGCACACGCACACACACACCCCGCTGCTTTCAGCCAATCACAGCCCGCGGCCCTCCGCTCCCCTCCTCAGAATAAAAGGCAATAAAATAATGACACCGTGTTTAATTATTAACAGAATTCATGCAGGAGAAGTTGGATCTTATGTTCGGATCCATCTGCATCGTTTGGCGCTGAAAGATCACGTTTCTTCCCCAAAGCACGTGGGAAATGATCATTTGTGCGCAGAAGGGAGATAAAACATTATGGCTTTGGTGACAAACTTTTATTATTATTATTTATGCAAATCGTGCAGCAAGTAACTGGAAATGATGGCTCACCATCACACTTTTAGAAAAGTAAAAAGTACTCTGTGTTGACCTTTTATTCTATCAGTCTGTTTTTTCACAAATCTGATTTTTAGCATGCATTTTTAAACCTTTCCTAGTGTTAATATTAGACGCCACAGAAATGTTGTTTTTAACAGTAATAACTTTGACTCTTTTAAAAGTGTTAATTTAACCCTGGAGTCGTGGTTACCATATAAACACTGCATGAGTGTTGATTTGAACTCTGATAGTGTTAAATCTGCACTTTGAAATTTGCTGTGCTGCAAAAACAAGAGAACACAACTTCAAAAACCTATTTTATCCATGCTGAGGCAAGACCCCAGTCACCTTTCTTTCCAAAACTGTCAACAGGTCCCCTCATCATTCGCTCATGCATGTTCGTCAGTTATAAAATGATGTTGCCGTCTGATTGTCCTAATTATTGTAACCATTATCTGCAGAAAGTTGGAGTTGTTATTGTTTACCTTCAACAGGTGGGATGCTGCAGACTGAGGTCTCTGTTGCACACACATTAATTATTTACACATGACCGTTATGAAAAATACTACAAGCAGAGTGCTGCAGTGGGGAGAACCTGAGACGCAGTGACGCCTGTTGTTGATACTGTTGTAAGAAAACCCTGGGAGTCATGTTGAGCTTTACATGCTCCCTCACTGTGTTTGTTTTCTGCGATCCGTCCTCCTCTGCAGTCGTTGTCTTACAGACACTCGACCAGATTCCTTCTGAAAAAAGTTTTTGTTTTACTTTCTGAGTTGCCCATCTTTTGTGCAATCTCTTTTTCTTGCAGTGTCTTTACCTATTCTGAGGCTTTAAGCTGAACATTGAATTACCATAATCATTTATTGCCCTAGAATGCTCCACACTGTCAAAAAGTTTAAGTTTATAAGGCTTTCTAAAAACTTCACATAAAGTTTAAAAAAAAAAAATCAAACCGCATAGGTGCATGCAGTGTTTTCACATATAGTCCTGCTCATTTCCACAATAGTGCATTCCTTAACTCCCATTTTAATATAAAAAAAAAATCAGCCACTTGCATTTTGTATGAGATATGGGGAGCCGACTTGTGTCCTGTCCAAAAATGTCTCTCTGGGGATCTGGAACAAAAGGCAGAACTGGGCCATAGTTTCCATCTGCTGTCTCAGAGAGAGATGGGGAGAGGGTGGTGACTGGAGATATCATGGAGAGACTGAATATAAAGTGTGAGGCTTAAACAAAAAGAAGAAGAAGAAAGGTCAGAGACCGCAGAAACTTGGAACATAATGGGTTGTTACAAGGACGGAGATTTAGCAAGAGTTTGATAATGCTGAGATCAATTAATTTCCATTTAAGTCAGCCAACTGTAACCACAGCTACTTCTTTGTTAAATCTTTCCCTTGAATTAGCCCCAAGGCCTCTCCTCTCATGAACCTTTCTGTATTATCATGTACTGCAGCGTAACCTATGGTGTTCACACAGACAGACACACAATGCTGCAGTGACGGAATGAACACCTGCTGCACTGCACGCTCCAACTCACTTATGCTATTAATTGTTAATAGGTTTCAAGTGTTTAGGCAAAGTGACAACAAAATTTATCTAGAGGAAATGTAAAAATACACCTCAAATGGTAAACGACAATTACGTGTTTGAAGTATAATAAAAGTAAATATTGTTGCTTATCAAATCATGTAAATCATGTTAAAAACATTAAATAAGTGATAAAACGTGTCAAGATGTGTCATGATTCACCCAATGAGTGGACTTCAAAATCATAAAATGAGCTATCCCTTTTAATTTCAGCATTTTTAAGTTATGTCAATATTATAAGTAACTAGTCAATCATTTATTTAAATGTTCCTGATTGTAAAATTTATTGTTTGCTTAAAAATCAGCATGTTCATGAATATAATGGGAAAATACAATGAAAAATTTTAAGTACATTTCCATTTAAATCAAACTTGTAGAGAGGTTTGAACATTTGAGTTAACAGGTATGTTTAAAATATGCTGTTGTAAACTCAAAAACAATTCAGATTCATTTGTAAGTCAAGTCTTGTCTACTAAGATTTATGGATCAAATCAAGGTGCCATATCAAACAAGGTAAAATATTAAAAACTAAAAACAGGAACATGTTTGCTTTGATTTTTCCATTGAACTTATGATCTGTTTGCGATATGAGACTTGAACAGGTTGTGAAAGTTCTAAAAGTTAGCATATATTTAAAAAATGACTTTATTTTTCAAAAACCTTAATACCATTAGAAATGTTTTGTGTCTGGGCAGCACAGTGGCACAGTTGGTAGAGCTGCTGCCTCTCAGCGACCAGGTCGCCCCAGTTCAAATCCCGGTCCAGGGGAGTTTACATGTTCTCTTCGTGCATGTGTGGGTTTTCTCCGGGTACTCCGGTTTCCTCCCACAGACTAAAAACATGCATGTTAGACTGATTGGTAACTTTAAATTGTCCCCTAGGTGTGAGTGAGAGAGTGAATGGTGGATTGTCTCTTTGTGGCCCTGTGATGGACTGGAGACCTGTCCAGGGTGTCCCCTGCCTCTCGCACAGTGATGGTTAGATATAGGCACCAGTGAACCCCACGACCCGAAACAGAAGAAGCACGTAAATCAAAGTAAATTAAGTTCAAGTTCATTGTCATTAGCATCATTTGCAGTACATGAGGTGGAACAAAATTCTGTACTCAGGGTCCCAGTTACACCCAAAAATAGCAAATCTATAAAGTATAAAATGAAACACTATATAAGGATCTAAGATATACACTAAACAAATGCCAAACAGTACACTAAAAGATCTAAGATATACACTTAACATTATGTAAAACAATACTGTGTAACAACAGCAGCCCGAAGATTAGTCTGTGGTGAGCAGATGGGTATGACTTTAATACAGCAGCATGAAACAATCAGCAGCATGAGATCAGCAGCATGGATAATCAGCAGCACAGATAAGTCATGTG